GCGCCGCCGCGCTTCCCAAGCGGCGCACTATCCAGTGCGCCACCGGGCCGGCCCAAGAATTGAAAACTTTTAACAAAAGATGGTGTAATGTCCAATGCTCACGAAATGATGCACAATATCATTAGTCATCAGAAAACATATAAATTAAAACCAAAATAATATACCACTACACATGCACTAGAATGGCTAAAATTTAAAATTTTGACAAAAACAAGTGTAAGTGAGGATATAAAGCAACTGAAACCATTCTACATTGCTGGGAGAAATGGCAAAATTATACAATACTATGTAAAACAGTTTGGTAGTTCCTTATAATTCAATCAAGAGATATTTGTATAAACAAATTGTGGCTTATCTGTATAATGCAATACTACCTAGCAATAAAAAAAGATGAGCTGTTTTACATGCAACAATTTTGATGAATCTCAAAAACATGCTGAGCAAAGACTCCAGCAACAAAAAAGTACATATTGTTTAATTCCATTTATATGAAATTTCAGAAAAGGGATGTTCAATCTAGAGTTTCAGAAAGCAGGTCTAGTTTATATGGGAGCAGAAGTGGGGAGGGAATTCATTGCAAAGAGTTACCTTTTTAGGATGGAGATTTTGTTTCATATCTTGACTAATATGATTGTTGTATACTATTGAAAATACAGTGCACATATTTTTTCAAAACTCATTAAAGTATACAGTTAAATGTGCACATTTTATTGTATTTAACTTACACCTTAGTAAGGTTAATTTAAAAACAACTTATAGCATAGTAAAAGTACAATATTTTTGCAGAGAAAAGAAAAAATATAAAGCTTAACAAATAATTTTTAAAAGCTAGAATAACCCTAATATCAAACATAAAGATAGGACAAGTACTCACTCATACACACAGATACATGAACTCTAGATTATCCCAACTCATGCAACAATCTAATAGCAAAATTCCCAAGTAAGATGCTCACAAAAATACATAGCACAAGACAAGGACAAGAAAAAACAATGTTAGTTGATACTATTTTAAATAAGTTAAAATAGAGGTATAACTTATTAAGATGATAAAATACTACCTATTTCATACCGATAGTGATTATCATGTTAATGATGAAACACTAGCAGCATATTTCCATTAATTTTGAGAAAGTATAAAAACATCTGCTATCTCTCCATGAATTATTTAACATTCTAACTTAGCAATAAGAATTATGATGTAAGCATGAGAAAGCAGACATTATTCATTTTTTGCATTTGATATGATATTCTACCTAAAAATATGAATACAGCAACTTAAAAAAATTAAATTAGAAATTTTAGTATAAACATATAAATTTATAAAAATCAATAGCTTGGCTCATATAAGCAATAGCCAGCATAAAATATAATAACAGTATTCAAAATCATAAAAATATAAATATCAATTATTATTTCTGTAAGTATATTTTATATTTTTCTCAGCTCTCCAACCTTTCCTTTTGGAACCCTCTCCTCACTCTAAGTGACTTTTTTTTTTTTTTTTGAGATAACCATAAAGGTATACTCTCTCTCTGTTAGGTAAATAGAATAGTTTGGTCAGGGCCCTTGCCTCAGGTCCACGTAGGTGTGGTTTTAGCACATCCATTGTAAACAAATTTAAGTGTGTGTGTGAGAGAGAGAGAAAGAGTTAGTGTGCATATGCACCAGTGTATCTTTTTTAGTTTTGTTGCTATTCTCGTGTTCTTCAGAGACTAGAGAGAAGAGAGAGGGGGAGGGAGAGAGAGAGAAGTTTTAGTGCAGCAGGTGGGCGGGCATCTGCCTCAGGCATCCACCCTGCGCAGCCATGCTTTCCAACCTACAGCTTCCAAGGACCTTTTGGCCAGTTACCTGGCTCACAGACCTGGTGACCCAGCCTGGCATGTGTGGGGTCTGGTGACACAGCCTGGCATACGAAGAGTTTGTGACCCAGTCTGTGAATGGGCTTGAGGGGTCTGGGAGCTCCAGACCCAGCCCTAGCTCAACCATCAGCCCAGTCGGTGCAGGATTACCAGCAGGTAAAAGAGCCCGACAACTAGCGTGGTCACCTAGCTTTACAATTGGTGTCACGAACAGGATTAAGAGCCAGACAATTGGCGCTGTGAGCAGGATTCCAGACAGCAGCCGTAGCGCCACACTCTCCATCCCAGGCCTACCTGAATACTCAATCAGCCCAGACCCGGGATTGGACCACAGGAGGATGTATAACCCAAACAGGTCTATTTAGGGTCCTTTTGGGGGGAGCTGATACTGACACTTGGAGAGACACTGGGAAAGAAAATGGCTCTCTTCTTTCGAGATCTCAAGCTGTAAGAAAACACATCCTGAAGTAACTTTT